GTCATTTTCCCATAAATGTCAAGTGAACCTCCTTTTGTAACCTGACAGTTGCCCTCTGCAGCCCATTAGAAAGAATGCAGACCTAAAGGCTACAGCCATTTCTTCTAAATAATCCCATGCATCCATTCATTTCCTTCCATTTATCCAGTTCAGGGTCACGGTTGGGCTAGAGCCAATCTGAGATGTAATGGGGCTGGAGCACGACCTATACAATTGTTCATTCACACCTACAGCCAATTACCAGTTAACCCTAATGCTGATGTCTTTGAACTGTGGGAGGAACCTGGACTACACAGATAACTGGCACAGGCACAGTGAGAATATGCAAGCGTCACACAGAAAGACACCAGCCAGTGGATTAGAAGACAAGACCTTCTTTAAATTATTTATCCCTCTTATGAAGAGTTTTCACTCAGCTGGTGGAAGCTATATTTTCCATGCAGATGGCACTGCCCAAGAGCAGCATATTTTTCCAGGCACTGACGTTAAATGTGATGTGGTGTCGTTTCATGTTTGCACACGCTGAATTGTCGGCTTCACAGCAGAAGAACTGACTTTTGTATGTGCACAGCAGCCTCCACGACAATCACTCAAATGCCGTGATCATCATTTTAATATGCTACGTTAACGTGTACAAACAGAAGTATCCAAACTAGAGAAATCTTCACACATAAAACAAACGCTGCAGATATTTACCTGCTTTTGTGAGAGTTTTCAGTTCAGTTTTGAAAGTGTGCACAAGATGAGCCATGGCTCTCCTCGCCGTCTGCACACACAAGTCTGAGTAAACCTTGATCTTGGACCAATCCTTGGAGGCTGAAATATTGCTCAGAGCCTTCAAAGTCTGAAACGATTCATAAGGACATGATAGTGAGTAGCAGCTATTTTCAGTTGGATCTTTTTTTTGGATTGGGGCAGGGGTGAGTGAGGAAAAGATACAAAGCGATGGATAAAAGATGTATAAATTTGTTGCACCTGGCTTTAAAAGAGATATATTTTATTATAAAAGCTTATAGGTTACAGTCTGTACTACTTACCTGTAAGAGCCACAGGTGGTCCTCATTTTGTGAAAGCTCAAATTAGTCAACTAATTTATTAGTTGCAGACTGACAAATTCTCATTTGTCAGTCAAATGAGAATGTTGAGGGTAGAGACTGTAGTTTGAAAAGGTGGCTGAGTGGTTAAGTCATGATAAAAGGAAGTGTGTGGTTTATTGTTTCTGTTTTATTTGTTTTGTTTTGTTTTTTGAGAAATACTGTACTCATCAAGATGATCTAAGGATTTGGAAGTGATGTAACAGTAAAACCCAGGAGATGGCAGTAATGCAACATCTTTGGATTCAAGCTGCCATTAAAAATGAAAGAAGATTTGGGCAGGTCAGCTTGAGTTATGTTTTGTTTTGGCTTTTGAGTAGAAGTTTGTTAATTTGATCTCTTTTATGGGACCACGTGGGTTTTAAATAGTTTGTCATTTTAAATATTTGTAATAATGTTGTCCTTTTTGGCTATACTAAAACTCATGTGTGAAGATTACACCTGTGTTTTTATGTTCTTGGCTGCCATGATAGTCTTCTATTCCTTATCAGTTCTTTAGTAAACAATATTATTCCTTCCCACTGTCTTCAAAGTGCTTTCTCACAGGTTGTCATCTGGTTGTTGGGGTTTGTCTATATATTTTAAGGTCCTTGCAAATTAAAGTACCTTGAGGCAACTGTAACTTGGTACTATAAGTAAAACTGTCTTGAATTGAACTGATTATCTCATTCTGTGTGCCTAGTATGGTTTTATAGATTAAACAAGCTTAGCATAAGGCCTGGGAACAGGTAGAAACGGCTTTCTTTTAGACAGTGCTTGTGGTGGTCAAAGGGCCCGGTGGCACCAGTGTTCGGCAGCCTCGCCTCCGTCAGTACGCCCCAGGGCGGCTGTGGCTACAATGTAGCTTGCCATCACCAGTGTGTGAATGGGTGTGTGAATGGGTGGATGATTGTGTATATTGGGGTCCTTAGGGGTCCTTAGGACCAAGTAAGGCGCTATAC